TAACCCTAACCCTAACCCTAACCCTAACCCTAACCCTAACCCTAACCCTAACCCTAACCCTAACCCTAACCCTAACCCTAACCCTAACCCTAACAAAGAATGGTGCAATACAGCAATTGTGTTCCTGTCTCAGCGGTAATGTTGGTCAAAGTGGACTAGAACGGCCTGTAGATTAACTCCCCTCAAAAAAGTCGACTGCCTTGGGTATGCCTTTATGAAAATTGCTATCATTGATACATTGCAGTCTTCGGAGTACCACATCAGCAGTCACATTCAAATAAGCAGTCCAAGGTGTACTGCATCAGCCTATTCCTAGGTCTTGCTTCAGAGGAACAGGGGGACGCATGGCAAGAAAAGACGAAGGGCTGCAGTAAGACCAGTTGGGATGATGGCAATGCTGGCAAAGGACATCTTGCGATATGCCTTGCCAAACTTGGCTCAGACAGTTCTCACCTAATATTGGAAATGACCCAGCATATGTGCCCGAGACTGCACGAGGGTGCCAAAGGGCAGTGCTGCAGCTGACGCTGCCTGCAAAGTGTCTGTATGTACAGTTTACCCGTTAACCTTATGAAGCCTAACCAATGTGCACTGTAACCGCACTTCTGGTATTGTTGTGCAAACTTGACATACAAACTATACCACAGTGCCCTGGCTATATCACAACCAGCACAGCCCGAGTAGAACACATCCATAGCACAGAGGACACAATTAGGCCGAGTGCAAGCAGAGGTACATTCAACCGTTCAACAGGGCTCCCCAAGTGGTATTGATAGTTCTGCGCTTTGTTGTTGTTGTTTGCAAAGGCTCTCTGCTGGTCGGTGGCAGTTGTAATAGTGATTGCACCAATAGTTGGGGTCAATTTTTTTTCTTAGATTTACCAATTATTTTTGATTCGCGGGAGTGTGTCAAGTTCAGAGGTTTTCGAGCTGCATTGGCTTTCTTTTGCGCAATCAAGCTCACTCTCTCCTGACCTGGTGCCGAGGTGCATTGGCGCCAAGCAACTGGAAGGCTGAAATGCTTTACTTCTCTGCAACAAGCGTTAAGCAACGGTAATATACATGGAGGGGTAATTGCATGGAGGACGAGGCTTTCAAGGCTTCGCGCTTTGTTCTTTGATCTGGATCCGAGTGTCACGGCCAAGGGCCACCGGCAGCGCAATGTCGGCCAGCTTGGTAATGGGCTGGTGCAAGATTGACTCGAGTTGCGAGTCGAGTAATATCTGGCGAAAGAGGGTATGAGGTTCGATGAAGATCCGTCGCTCGAGGCACGCGGCGCCAAACTCGAGCAGCGCATCGACGTCGCGACGCTCGAGGATGTTAAGCAACGCCAGCACGCCAGCCACGCCACCATCTTTCCCTACACTACGCGCCCTGGCTGTAATCCCAGTTCCAACTCCACCTGCACTGGCACGACCCCGCAAAGGGGTATCTTTGCAGTCGTTGGTGTACAGACAATAACGGCCGTAGCCGTGGCTTCCGTTGTCATTGTAGACAATGGCCGGCTCGTAAAGGCTGTTATTCAGTGCCGAGCTTGTGCAGCGCGAGGTCACCAGGCTGCTGCTGCTATTGCTGCTCTGGCTCCACATTCGGGGTGATGACGAGCGAAACGACGTGCTACTGCTCGCCGAGCCGCTGTTCCAAGGTCCTGAGACTGACGCCGACATCGTTGCGCATTCGCAGCCCGTGCTGGGGCTCGAGACGGGCCACGAAGGCTTTGATGACGTGCGCGCAGTTGGCGGCCTGTGTCCCACATGTCCCTGCTCCTGCGTCATCGTCGCTAACTCGGCACTGGAACCGCGTCGGCTGCTTCTGTTGCTCGAACACCACGTGTGTAGAGCCTCTCCCTCCAGAAACGTGGTCAGAATGTGTGCAAATCGGCTGAGAAAGCCAGCAACAAACTGCACCGGTACCGTCTGCTCGTCAAAGTTAACGCACATCTCGAGGCGTCCGCGTCGCGCCGAGATGTTGAGCACGAGCGGCACGTCAAATGGATCGCTGCCGTCCCATGCCTCCAGCAGCTTGCTGTCCGACTTTGTCCTGTCATGCTTGTTGTCTTTGTCTTGGTCGAAATTGTCGTCATAATCTTGACCATGGCCATTGTCGTCGTCTTCGTCGTCGTCAGAGTGGAGGTAGTTGCGGAAGTTGATGATGGCGTCAAATAGGTCCGTATGCTGGCGAGGCACAATGCCAGCACGTGCCAAGTCCTCGTAGGAGAGGTGTTCGTGTTGCGTGATGTTGGCTTGGGCCGCCTGAACCGTTCGGATCCACTCGATCATGTCCTGACCCTCGGCAGGCAGGAGCAGCTTACGCGGCACCAGGCTGATGCATGGTCCTACAACCCCCTCCAATCCCAACAGCTGGCCAGAGCGCCCCGCAAGCAGCTGTCCAATTGTAAGCTCGTTGTTGTTCACGTCAACCACGTCGGAGAGGGCTAGGGCAAAGCTCGAAACTACGGTGCTCGACAGATGGATCCCCTGCGTCTCAAGCCGCGCCATGGACTGCACGTCAAACGTAATCACTCGTTCCAGCTCGGCCTTGCAGCAGGACCTCCTTGCAGCATAACCCGATCCCCAGACACGAACGTGCTGCTGCAACTTGCTCGGTCGCACGCCACCCAGCTCTCGTGTCCAGAATTCAAGCGCTTCGCTTCTCCTATCCTCGACCATTCTGACAAAGTCGCCAAACTCGGCCGGCCGAAATGGCGGCATCGCGCAAAGCTCGGACGTCGATGTCGACGTCCAGGCAGCACTGCTATAGAGCTTGGAGAGCTCGGCCAGCTGCATTCGGACGGTCCATGCGTCGTCGAGTGCATGATGGATCGTCCAGAGTAGCATGTCGCCTCCACCGTCCGCAAAGCTAAGCAAACGAAAGTTGCAGAGCGGCTCGCTCGTCGTCCATCGCTGAGAGGGGGCTCCATTGAGCGCATAGAGGAGCGCAGGCGAGTAAGCGTCAGCAGTTCCCGGCAGCTCGCGCTCCTCCCACTGCAGCTTGACATTGGCAAGCACTACCTGGAAGAGGCGGGCGCCGCCGTCCTCATCGCGTCCAAAGGCAAACACGGTGCGCAAAATGTCGTTGCGCTCGACGAGTTGTTCAAGAGCGGTGCGCAAGCGTGCACGATCAGTGTGCGGCGCAATCCGGTAGAGCTGCTGCACGTGGTAGCTGTCGGCAGCACCCACCATCGAGGCAAGTAACATGCGCTGCTGCGTTGATGTCGCCGGATAGCAAGCTTGCACGAGGCTGTCAGCAGCGGTGTTGGGGGCGTTGATGTCGTTGCTGCTCTGCAGCTCTCCCCGCTGGCTCTCGGCAAAGCTGCGAGCCACCTGGCTCCAAGACATCGGCATCTCAAGCTGGGTAGGCGGCATGGCCCGCGCCTCTACAGCCAAGTCGGCACCGATTCCTGTTCCAGACTGCCGGCTCGACAACAACTCGCACTGAGCCTCGATGGTGGCGTGTGCAGCAATGTCGGACACGCTCAGCCCAATGCCCAGTCGACGCAGATGCGAGCTGAGTCGGATCGCCAGAATCGAGTCGCCTCCAAGAAAGCCAAACTCGACATTGGAGCTGATGCTCTTGCGATCCCGACCAAGCACGTGCGACCAGGCCTCCAGGACACTGGTCATCATTGGGCCCTTCGCCGATCTAGGGCCTTCTTTGTTCTTGTGGTTATCGTCGTCGGGGGTGCTCTTGCGTTGCGTCTGTGCGGTGCACCACGTCTCCAGGTGGCGTTGGTATACCTGATCGAGTTTGCGCTTGTCGAGCTTGCCGCTCGAGACCAAGGGTAGCTCAGCGAGCGCGATCCAAACTGTCGGCACCATGTAGCGAGGTAGCTCGGTCCGTGCTTGCACCGCGAGCTCCTGTAGTGCCTGCCGGCTGGACGACGTGTCGATCTCAATCTCCTGGGTGGTCGCGGGGCCTGTCTTCTTGATCTTGTTGGGCTCCTCCGATCGGCTGAAGCTGGGCTCGAAAACGACAAAGGCAACGAGCTCGTTACCCATCGCCTCGACGTCTACCGCGCAGATGGGCATCTGAGCCGAGGCTGAGCGCGTGAGTCCCACTTGAACCTCGCCGAGCTCGATGCGGAGGCCTTTGATGTTGACCTGGCAGTCCTTGCGGCGCAGGTACCGGAGTGCATTGAGCGCCGAGTCAAATACCACAAGGTCCCCACTCCGATAGGCCTTGGCTCCGTCCCGAAGCCTCACAAATGCAGCAGCTGTGCGCTCGGGATCGCGAAAATACCCCTCGGCTATCTGGTCACCGCAAACCAGCAGCTCACCTGGGCAATCAAGCGCGCAGGGTTCGTTGTTGTCGTCCAGAACCAGGAGGCGCGAGGTGCCGAGGGCGTTCCCAATCAGCGAGGCGGGCATGTCAACAGTGAAGCGGTCCTGGGCACAACAGACAACCGTGATCTCGGTGATGCCGTACGCATTGATCAAGCGCACGTGAGGCGCCCAGACGTTGCGAACGTCGTCGACCAGAGGCTCGCCCGACAGACACAGTAGATCGAGATGCCGAGCCTCGCTGGGCGTAAACAGCTTGGCCACCGTCGGCGTCGTCTGCAGCAACGTGACTCGCAGACAGCTCAGGGTGTCGCCCATCTCGGGAAGCATATCAGTCAGATCGCGCAGACAGAGGCACGCGCCAGACGCCAGCATGGTCAGGTCCCACACGCTCCAGTCAAACGAGAACTGCGAGAACTGCAGACACCGATGGGTCCACAGCGGCGCACCAAACGCGTTGCCACACTCTTGCTGTTGTCGCGTGCCATAAAGCGCCTGCTGCGCAGCGATGGATGCGGCCACCGATCGATGCGAGACTTTGACGCCCTTGGGCGTGCCAGTTGAGCCGCTGGTAAAAAGCTGGTATGCGAGCCCGTCGAGCTCGGCGGTGCGGTCCAGGCACGGCAGCTCAACAAAAGGGACGCCGTCGTCCGAGGACAAGGATACACACTCAAGAGATCCTTGGCCTTCGAGTTCGCGCACCCAAGCCTCGACGTTGATCACTTCGACCTTGCGGCTGACCGACGAGTCGATGGTTCCGTTGGCGAGGAGGAGGTGCGAGTTGAGCTGATCGAGAATGCGATGGAGCCTGGCCTGAGGCTGACTCGGGTCGCAGGGTACGTAGGCGCACCTAAGCCAGAAGAGTGCAAGGATAAGGGCGACCGACGAGGCGCGTTTCTCGAGCGCCACCGGCACCAAGCTCCCGGGAGCTAGGGCTAGCTGGCGAGCGATACGCGCCCCAAGGCCAACTGAGATGCGATGCAGCTGCGAGTAGCTCCAAAACACGCCGTCGTACGTCTGGATGGCCGCTTTGTGCGGCCAGGCACGGGCAATGCGCTCCACATGCCGGTGCAACGGCAGCAGCAGCGGAGGGGATAGCGACGGGTTTTCGCTGCTCGACTTGTGCATGGGGCCGGACAGGCCCAGCTGCGCCCGTGTGTCGTTCTCGGTGCGGATGTCGATCAAGCTGACCTGGTCGGTAGGGCTATGCTCCAGACGGTGCGCCAATTGCTGCAGCGCCTGGTAGGTTTGTCCCACAAATGACTCGGCGTGTGCACGAGCAAGATAGGCCGGGTCGTAGCTGAAATGTATGACGTAGCCTCCAGCGTCGAGCTGCACCTCGATCGAGACAGGGTAGGTGACGCTCATTTCGGCATCGAGAGGCTCGAGCTGCCAACCAACACGGTGGCCGCCGGCGTTGCCATCGCCATCACCGTTGCCGTTGGCGTCAAAGTTTTGAAACGCGAGGAGAACGTTGAATAGCGGGCTTCCGGGCCCAAGGCGTGCAGCAGCCTGGATGGCGTTAAGACCAACGTGCTCGTACTGGAGGGCCTCGAGAGAGCGCGAGTCGGCGTCGCGGATCAGCTGCTCGACAGAGGTATGGGATAGCGATAAGCGGAGAGGCAGTGTAGCTATGCAAGGACCGACGATGGCTTCGATTTGGGCCAGGGGAGCCGCGCGACCGGAGCTAGTGTAGCCCAGGACCACATCGTTGGAGCCCGAGCGGCGGGCGAGCACACATGCGAGGGCTGCTTTGAAGACCGACGCTGGGGTGACGCCAAACTTGGCGGCAGCTCGGGCGATTCCCGGATCAGCAAATCTGCGGCTTACCGTCTGCGATGCTTTGGCCGTCGCTTGCGCGCCGTTTGATCCGGTGTTCTGACAATCGAGCGGACGCGGCCATGCCGCAGGTTCCAGCTCGGCCAGCGCCCGTGACCAGTAGCTGCTCGCCGAGCTCAGCAGCTCGGGATCAAGACAATGGCCAACAAAGTCAGCAAAGGGTGTTGTTTCGGCCCGCCAACCGTTGTCATTGTGATTACGTGGGTCTTCGCCTTCGTCATCATCGTTGATGTCGTTGTTGAAGCAATACAGTTGCTCCAGATCCCGGAGGAGCAGGTTCATGGACCAGCCGTCATACAAGGCGTGATGGATAACTAGCGCAAAAACGGCGTCAGGCGAAGCAGGAGAGGATCGGAACAGTCCGGCCGAGAGCCAGAGCGCTGGCGTTGTGAACCACTCCCTGCGGCCCTCACCCCTGCGGTTGCCCTCAGCCTGGGGGTTGGCAGCCGCCTTTTGGGCAATGTGTGACGATCTTTGGCTCATATAAATGTGCGCGTCTTGGACCGGGTCGGCCGAGGTCTCCTGCGTCTGCCAGGTGATGTTCTCCAATGCGATCGCCGGGTCAAGGACGACCTGGACGATGCCGTCGGCGTGCGAGCTCGACTGGACAAAGGCCGTACGCAGGATCTCGTGCTTGGCGACGAGGCAGCGCCAAGCGCGCTCGAGGCGCGCGCTGTCAAGCGACCCGCCCCCGCTGCCCCCGTCGCCATCGCGCATCTTGATGCGGAAGAGTAAACGCGAGAGGTAGGGCATGTCTCCGCTGTGCTCCGAGTCAAGCTCTCGCAGCGTCAGCGCCACCAGGCCCGCCTGCATGGGCGCCAGCGGATACGCATCCACCACGGCCTCATCATCCAGCCCAGCAGCCCGCAATTCGAGCTCAAAAGCATCTTGGTCAAAATCGGCCATCTTGACGGTTGAGTAACAAAGTAAAGTGTCTCAACGCCAAGTGTGAGTGCGGTCGTTGGTGGAGTCAATGGCAAGTAGGATAAGAAGGAACTAGAGCAACACGGTTTGGCAGAGGAGTAGCAGGCGAGGCGAGGCGTTGTCAATGTGCGAAAGTCCGAGGGACAGTCTACGTGCGGGGGCGGCGATGCCACCGACATGGGCTCAGCTTTTCTAGTCGATCGAATGGCTGGCTGGCGGTTGGAGACCGCAGCAGCAGCGAAGGGTGCAGAGCTCGAGAGTAACTCTCGAGCACAGGAAGGCCGCCGGTGTAGAGGGGGGGATGCTGACGCAGGGTCAACCAGTTTGGGCGGCGACGGATTGTGAAAGAGGCACCGACAGTTGAAACTCGCATCGTAGTGAAGGGGGTACCATCTTAGTAAGTGAGCGAGGCAGTATGGTGCAAGGCCTGTCGCGCCCCTGTTGTCTTTGTGGCGGGCTTGTTCCTCGACGAACAACCAACACACATGCGCAGCGCTTCCTCATTATCTTCTTCGCCAATCTTGGTCGATTGCTCACTACCTCACTCACTCACACACCCAATTTACTCACTCACCAGTTTAGTAAGTACGTAATAGAACTTGACAAACCCAAGTTCACCTGCCTCTCATCGGTCGCAACAACCCTCATAGACCTACATGCTGTACACGCCACGGCAGCGCGTGCTGGTGTGGCGGATCGTTGCATAAACCTTTGCACAGTGGTCGGTAGTCCATGATGAAACCATTTGCAGAAGGCCTCGTTCGGTGGTGCTCGTCTGCATCTGCATGTATCTGGAATTGCACTAGTCTACTGTACAGTCATGTGGCTACTCAATTGCTTGGATGATTCGCTGACCTCAATTGGCCCAGGATCTCATGTGTTTGTGTTTGTGTGTGCACACAGCCGTGCGACCGTTGTTGCGCCGACTCAGCCTAGCTCGTTGCATGCTTTTGGCCGTCGCTGGTCGCAGGTGCCCGAGCGTCCTTTTGGTGTTCACGCGCCTGCAAGAGACGAGAGAGGAGGCCGCTCTGGTTGCCCAGCAACTCGTTGGGCGTGCCAAACTCGCCAATATGGCCGCGCTCCATGACGAGCACGTGATCAAATTCGTAAACACTGTCGAGGCGATGCACGACCGAGACCACAGTGAGCCTCCGCGCAAAGACGCGGCGGATCAGCTGCTGGACGCGCTCGTTGGTGCTCGCATCGAGCGACGAGTTGATCTCGTCGAGCAACAGCACCTCGGCGCGCGCGTTAGTCCTTGCCAGCACCAGCGCCCGCGCCAGCGCAAAGAGCTGCAGCTGACCCGGAGACAGCCATGCTGAATCGCTGTCAAATACCGTGTCTAGCCCCCGTGCGAGACCCAGCACCGTCGATCGCAGCCCGACCTCATCAAGCGCCTCCAGTAGTAGCTCGTCGGTGTCGCCGCCGCCATTACTATTGCCCGAGCAGCGCCCCTCGACATCAAGGTTCTGGCGTAAAGTCCGCCCTTGGATGATCAACGGATCCTGTGGAACCACAATGATCCGCGAGCGCACCTCTCGGAGCGCCAAGCTCTCGGCGTCACAGCCGTCAAGCAGCATCCTTCCGGCAGTACGGCCTAACAGACGCCCAATGGCAAGTAACAGCGTTGACTTGCCAGAGCCGGAGCGGCCGCAGACACCGGTATATGTACCCCTCGGCAGATCCAGGCGCTCGAGATAAAGGTCCGGCGCGCGCACAGTCTCGGGCGCATTCTCGCTGCTCTCCTTCCCTTGCTGGTCGCGCTGCTGCTCCTCGTCATACCACGCCGAGAAGCGCTGGAAGCTGATGGCAGCAGCTGTCGACGTCTCGTGCCTGTGGTCGTTGGGGCTAGCATTGCTGTTCCGAGCACTACCGAGACCGTGCTGCGTCTGCGTCTTGTCATCCTCCTGGCGCGTTTGAATGATCTCGGTGACACGCTCAATGGCTACAGCAGCGATCTCGGCCTCCGTCCAGGATATGAGGCAGTTGTTGATCTGCTGTGAGATCTGCGTAGTCTGTGTGAGCGAGACGCCGACCAGCGCCACCATGCGCGTGCGGCGCAAGCCCACGCACAAAAGTATGAGCGAGACGTTGATGACGAGTGTGACCAGGTTGAGCCACGTCTGCAGCCAGCGGCGCACAGCATACACATGGTAGTAAGGCCTTTGCGAGCGCTCCACACAGGCATCCGCGTAGGCGAGCATCGCCTCTTGCACGCTAAAGGCACGCAGGATGGCGCCGCCGCCTAGGATATCGGAGGCGGCACCGTAGAGCGGGCTCTTAGACGCGATCTCAAGACGCCGCAGTTGCCGTGAGCTTGGAATGTAGAGCTTCCGCAACGCAACGCTCAGCAACACGAGCGCCGCAATTATAATCGCCAGGAATGGCGCAGAGGCAGTCATTAGGGCAAGGCTGCCAAGCAGAGTCAAAAGGTTCGAAGAAAAGTTGGACGCCTGCACTGGCCAATCCCAATCAATCAGAAACAGGTCCTGCGAGAAGCGATTGAGAAGCCGGCCGGCGGGGTGGTCCTGGAAGAAAGAGAGTGGCGCACCAAAGAGTGCGCGCGCCTCGTCCGCATGCACCGCAAGGCTCGCGCGCGGCACGACCCAGAGCAGCCAGAGATAGAAGAAACCGACGAAGGCGAGCGCGGTGGCCATGTTGATGGCGCTGAATCCAACTATCCAGGCGCCAAAAGCTTGGCCAGGATGCACCTCGTTGGTGTGTGCCCACTTCTCGAGCACCACCTGCGCACCGACGCCGAAAGCGGCGACACCCACGTTGAGCGTCAAGACAAGTGCGATCGGGCCGTAGCCAGCTCGCTCCACCCACACCTTGTACGTCGGCCAGCCAATGGAGCTCTCAGCGACCTGCTCGAGCTCGGGGTCCTGTGCGCAGCTCTGTGTCGCTTTCTGGTCGCTTTTATCGACTGCCACTGCTGGGGCAGGCTTTTCGCTGCTTGGCCTGCGAACAGATCCCTGCGCCAGCTGAACTGCTTCAGTGTGAGCCTGAACCTCGGCTTCGGCCTCTGCCTCTGAGTCCGCCTTGCCCAAGGCTTCGTCGAGCTCAGACGCCCTGCTTCCTCGGTCTGCGTCCGGCAGCAGTGCAGGGCGAGCGTCGCAGCGGATGACGTTACCGCTAAAATCAAGCTCAATGTGCAGAGCTGAGCGAGAGATGATGCGGCTTGAGTTGGTCACCAGCACGACTGTCTTGGAGCACAACAGGCCTTTGACGGGCGCAAAGAGTGCATCGAATACATGGCGCTCGACGCGCGCGTCGAGCGCGCTGAAGGCGTCGTCGAGTAACACCACGGGCGCCGATCGCGATGCGTAGAGCGCCCGGGCAATGGCCACGCGCTGTCTCTGTCCGCCAGAGAGCGCCTTGGCAGGATGGCGATCGCCATCGTCCCAGCGCTCAAGATCGTGATCGAGCGCAACGGCCTCGAGCACGACGCGGTACCAGCTCGGATCCATGGCGCGGAACAGAAGGATGTTGTCGCGCACCGAACGAGACTCTTGCACCCAGCACGCCTGATTGACAAAGGGGATCGTCGCAAGTCGGTGTCGTGGCCAGTCGGCACCAAAGATGCCTTTAGCAAGCGGCAGCTCGCCGAGGAGCGCGAGCATGAGGCTCGACTTGCCGCAGTTGACCGGCCCAGAGACAGTCGATAGCCGGCCGGCGGGAAAAGAGAGTGTCAAATCGGTGAAGACTACCCGCTGGGCTCCGCCGCCTGTCGGCCAGGCAATCGAGGCCGAGACAAGGTCGATCTGCGGGGCGGCCGGGAGCAGTGATATGAGCGACATCGAGGCTGTGGAGGGGGTATCGCTCTCCGGCTGCACGGTGGACGGCGGCAGCTCGAGGAAGTGCTGGATTCGGTCAAGGCTGGCGAGCGCCGAGAGGAGGATGGCGAAGCGCTGGCCGATCATGAGCAACGGAGTGCTGATCAGGTTGAGGGCTGAGAGAGCGGTAAAGATGGTCTGCGTGTCGAAGCGGGTTGTGTCCGGGTGAGAGCGGCGATCCACGAGCGCAAAGACAACAAAGGTGACGAGAAGGAGGGCGTCGGCCGCGAGGTTGGTGGCCGAAACGACGGCGCTGAGCTGGGAATAGTAACGGCGCATAGCCTTGACCTCAGCCTGACGAAACTCGAGCAGGGTGCGAAGCGAGACATTATCCCAGGCCATCATCTTGACCGTGCGGATTGCGCGGATGAGAGAGTCCGTAGCCTTGAGTCGCGAGTCGGTCACGGAGCTCCACGCCTTCTGGCGGTCGCCGAGTCCGCGGCTGACGAGGGGCGTGAGGACGAGGATTGCAAACGTGGTGACGAGGGGCGCCAGGAACGAGATGCCGATTTGAAGCCAGAGAATGTAAGCGCCAACGCCGATGATCACCAGGCCAGACCAGAGCTCGTGGAAAGGATCAATGCAAAAGATGACCTTCTCGACGTCGGTAGAGAGGAGGTTGGAGGCGGCGCTGGCACCGAGTGCGGTCGACTCGGCGTGGGCCAGATTGAGCGACTTGTGCAACACCGAAGATGTGAGTGCACCGCGCAGCATTGTCGAGGCCTGCGACACGGCGAAAAAGTACTGGCCTGTGGCAGCGGCGATGACGAAAAAGAGTAGACCGAAGGCACCAGCGATGGCCCAGCCAACAGCAGCCGCTTGCGGCGGCGGACTGGCAGCATCATGCCCTCGATATGAGTTGATGAAGCCAATTGTGTCCGAGATGAGGAAAGGTAAGCCCAGCTGTGCTGCAGTGAGGATGAGGCGAGGTAACGCCGGCTTGAGGATAGCGGGTACGAAGAAGGAGCGGAGGCAGGCCACAAGAAGGTGGCGTTGCGGTGAGTTCGACGAGGATCTTTGGGTAGCGGCATCAACTTCTGAATCGGTGTCAGCTTTCGCGCAAGTGTCCGGGTTTGGGCTGCTCGCGAGTAAGTTTCGAGCGAGCTTGGTCCTGAGTCGACTGGTGGCGTAACGCGGATGGAGTGGATCGAGCGTATCGAGCTCGATAGTCCCTTGGAGACCTCGTGCGAGGAGAGGAAAGACCCAGAAGAAGCCGAGACGGCTCAGAAACGTAGCTGATGCCTCGGGAGCACGCCAGTATGGGAGAGCAGATGACGTTGGAGAGGGGTTCGGGGGAGAAGGAGATCCCTCGGCATTGATGGACTCTAACACAAGCGAGACACACTTGAGAGCCAGCAGTGTCGCAAAGAGACCGACAAAGGCCGGAACCGAATTGGCGAGGCCGAGCAGCACAAAGGTTCGGAGGCGGGCGGCGTCAAAAAGGATGGTTGCGATGAGAAACGAGGGAAGGAGAAAGTTTCCGCCCGTAACGCGAAGGCGCTCAAGCCATGAGGCACCGAGCTGGGTGAAGGCCGCCAGGAGCGAAAGAGCGAGTGCAGATGAAAATGAGCTGCCATCCAGGGTGAGCCTGAGCTGCGAGTCGTGCGCCAGTCTGGACTCGATGAGGGTTATAAGCGCGACCTGGATAATGACAGCAGCGCCATTGGGTAAAGCCCGTAGCCCTAGAAGAAGGTCGGAACGAGCAGCGCCATGGGCCGCAGCGGCGGTTGCAAGCTTGGATGGCTTGCGCAGAAGGCGCGGCAGCCGAAAGAGAGCAAAGGTGGCGACGAACAGAGCGTTGGGTAGCACGCTCAACACCAGGTTCTCGAAGCGCACAGTGAAGTCGAAGGCGCGGCAGATGCTGTAGGCCGTCATCGCCCTGGAGGCAGACGCATCCAAGCAAAATGCATTGCGTCCGCTAGACATGATGGCCGCCAGGAGCGCACGCAGCAGCCAAAGTGCGGGTCAATGATGGAGGTGATGGGAAGGGAGCGGAGCAGTAGTTTCGAGAGCAGGAGGACTAGGACGGCGGCGGAAGCATCTCTATGCAGCAGCCAAGCGCCTGCTTGCATCTTTAACTCAACCTGTACACAGTTGTAGGGACCACCTCGAGCCTGAGCCTGAGCTTGCCGAAAGGTTGTGTGTGATAAGAGCATTGAGTAGATGAAAGGGAGAGTATACTGGAGCAGAGTTGAGCAGAGCGCACAGATTAGAGAGCAGAGCCAAGGAGTTACACAGTGCATGCCCTTGGCGCTACGCCAACCGGGGACTTCGAGGGCGCATTCACTAAAATAGTGCAGACCGGCCTTCAACACCAACACTACACTATGCATTATGAAAACCAGAAGGGCAAGAGGCCAAGGCGACGTCGCAGAACTTCCCTGTCGCAATGGCAATGGCAATCGCGCATTGCTACAACGAGCAATCAATGGATGGCGACCCTAGAAACGGGTCCATTGCCACTTGCGGTGTTCACTGATTGTACTGGGCTTGCGCAGCGCTATGACGTGTGGCGACTTGGGTCCGCCCCATTTAAGTGAGACAACTGCATGCTGATTTTAACGCTAGCGTTTAGGGTTTGGACTCCGACCCTCCGACGCCTTCGCCTACGTAGGAGAGAGCGACGCGTCTCGCTTGGATGCGCGTGATATCTGACTTTCCCCATTTCACACGCTGCCTTTGTCTAATTGGCAACTTCCCGTCGGTTGAGGCGCGCGTGTCATGTGCAGGGCACACGAACGGAAAAGAGACGCTAATACAGTCTAACAGCGATTCATCTTCCCTCCCTCCGTCCCGCAACTCCGGTTCCGGTCATGCTGCGCCACATACAGATGATGTGCAGCAGCGCATTGCAATGGAGGCATGGTTGGTCTACATACAGGTTTACCCAGCACCAGCGCAATCCGTAGCGGCCTGCACGATACTCGTCGTTGACCCGCGATGGGGGTGCTGCGAGATATTCAACGACGGCGTTGGCTCGATATCCCACCGCGCAAACGGCGCCAGGACCCGGTTCGGTGGCTTAACGCTTGACGAGGCTGCCGTGCATTGGACCAGGTCAAACATCATGCTCATCTCGAGCTCGCTACCGTCGCCCCCCAGGCTGCCGCGCCGCAGTCCATCCTCGGTACTGGACTCGTGGCTGGTGCTCTCGCTTGAGCATCTACATCGCGATCCACCCACAGTTTGTCGAAATTCTGCGTGGTCCATCACCAAGGCATTCCACGTCTCGTTCAGTCTTGTGCATCCGATGCTGCTGCCGTGGTGGGCAAAACACAAGAAGCGCAATCAACTCACCTTGCTGTCGTCGCTTCTCGCCATGTCCACGAGCCATGATATGCGTGTTGAGGTGGTGTAGCCTGCCGTAGGCCTTCGAGCATCCAGGAGCGTTGCATTGGTATTGTCGATCCACTTCGTGCCAACATCGCCGCTGCTGCTTACTCGACACCTGCCTCCTCGCCGCTCCCTGACACCCTTCGTACCTGGCCTCATGCACCCTGGAGCGCATCGCGTCGCTGGATATGCTGCTCCTACTCCTGGTGTCGCTGCTACTGCTGAGACTCGCAAGAGTGCCCTCTGTATTGCAAGAGTCAGAGTGGGTGGACAGGGCCATTGGGCTTACCTCGGACGCAGGTTGCATGCACGTATCCTGGACGATCAGTGCAAGGCCATTTGAGGACAGCGAGATCTGAGAAGGGCGAGCCATGCCATCGCTCATGATGTTAGGCGGCGCGTCCAAGGGCAGCGTATCAAGCGTGGGTGTTGTCAGAGCGGGCCCAAAGTACTGCAGACCGCTAGAACGGAGCTGGACCACGGCATCGTCGCTGCGTCCGTCGAGTAAACACAGTAGGCTGTTGAGCAGCGCTTCGAGGCACGTGTTCTTGGCCGCCGGCTGTGAGAGCTTCTGGTAGATGGTGGCCTCCCGCGGTGTCATGAGCTCGCTATGCTCCACCAGCCGGCCCGTGTCAACTCGGCAGAGATTCGCAAGCCGCCGATGCAGACACAGCTGCTTGAGCAGGTTACTCAGACTAGCCTCAAGCTTGGGGCGCAGCTCAAGAAGCTCGAGGACCGTGCTCGTTGGCACCGACTCCATGACTGGGTTGGGCGATGCAACTTGTGATGGTGATAGCGAAGCCGACAATAGGACGTGGCGAATACAAAGGCAATGGTTGTAGCCACTGGAGATCTCTGAGGGAGAGGGGAAACGGGAGGTGTACATGCAAGCAAGAATGTTCCCGCCTTTAATTTCAGCACGATTATACTGTTGTTTTTTCACGGCGCTATCTTTAAGGCTGCTTCTGAGAAAAGAACTCCCGCGTTCTGCGCTGCTACAGCGCAGAGGGTATGCAATGCAGCAGCTTGCCTTCCTTCCTACAGCTCGGGTTCAGCTCAATTCCGATTTCGTCAAGGTCACTCGTTGGGTGCTTAGCGATGTCCACATATTTTCACACTGCTATAGGTTTCCATATTCAACTCGCCCGGTTGTCACCGACCCACGGTGCCGGGTTTCTATCTGGTGTGCTCACGTGCAGATTGCAGAGCGGAGCAGTGTAGCCTAGACCAGCTAAGAGGAAGTCATAAAAGGGAATGGCTACAGGCGCCGGCTTATTTACTTGCGTGCTCGAGGCACGGATGGAGATTAGCGGACATGATGGATAAGTGAGCGATGCGATATGATGTGCTGTGGATGGAATCACATGCCCATTATTCTCCAGCGCTGTCCGGGTCCCCAGCTGTCCGAGAGCGTGAGTGTGCGGCCGCTCTCATCGACGCCCAGGAACTTGTTCGAATACTCCCTCTCTGTTGCGTCCGCGGCGATCGGCACCAGGCCAAACTATCGGCTCGCGCAGCAACAATCGACGCACACAGTGGCAGAGCCCAAAGGATCCAAAGAATCGATGGTGTTGTAGATAGCCGCAGCAAGCAAAGTCGACCGTCCGCCAGTCAAAGAAAGTATGTGTTTGTCGGTCTCGCGGCTTCCATGCTTCGCCTGCGTGGTCTCTACTCACTTCGGTCGGAGCGCGCTGCTCAACCCAGAGCACGTAGCGCTTTGCCTCGATCTCCACCTGAACTTCGGTAGGCTGGCCGTGTCGACCCACCAGACCATCGTCCTTGCAAAGGAAAAAGTCTTTGCCTGGGCGAAAACTGTTGTTAGCGCCTGCATAGACGCTCCCCTGCACGGTCTGCAACGAGACGAGCCCATCGGCACCGACACTGAGCTCGAGGCCGCATGACTGGCTGGGGCAGTATCGTCCGGAAGTGGTTGGCATGCTTGCTGGAAAGCCAATGAATGGCAGATTGATCTGAGACGAGTTTGCCAGTCGTTGCCAAAAGAAATTGCAGACCGATTCCTGCTGCTCCTCTCACCGCCATCCGTGTGCTGTGTCCCTTTTAACCCTTTCGAAGCCGTCAGGACCACCGCAAAGCCACTGAACGAACGAAGCAAGGAACGAATGGGCGGCGCCGGAGTAGCGGTGCTTGCAGCAATGGCAGTAGTACTTAAACTCAAAGTAGAATACGAACAATGAAATATAAAATATGTGAATACAAGCAGCAATATTCTTGAAAGGTCTAAATAGGTAGTTTGTCTTTGTTTTTCTCTGAAATCGCGCAGTCTTAGCTTCAGGTTTTTACATATTTCGATGTGTTCAATTGTCGTTTTAGATTTGTTTGTTTCGTATTGTATACAGCTTTTTAAAATTGTGCGGACGATTGATGACTTCAATTCTGAACAAAAACATTATGTTTATTAGTATTAGTTTAGCAAAGAACGTTTCAGACAGCATTCTCACGATGCACTACATAACCCAAAACAAACACATATGGATATTCTTTCTTTGCTAGTAAACTCTCTACCATTTTTAGAAAGGTACTTGAACGATGGTTTCATGTTTGAAAAATTTTGAAATGTAAAACATCTTATTTATCACTACCATTACCTGTTTGGTAGCAGAAGAAGATCTAACAAACATATATTGCATTGTATTGCATTGTATTGTATTATTGGATTGCATTGTAGTGGCAGTAGTGGTGTCGGCAGTAGAGCCGCTATTGCGGTGCTATCGGTGCAACTGAGAAACTTCGAAATCGGATCGGATCCGACCGTGCCGCACTGCGCTCGACAGTCACCGGCAGCCCGATGCGTCAGCCACACACTAAATTGGGTTTGCACCGCACTGCGCTCACTCTGCACTCACCTCTGCGCTCACCTTACTACACGACCATTACCAAGTATACTTGGTTTTCACTACGACTGCTTTGACGTCTACGAGTAGTGCTTGCTGTACTGCAAGAACTGCAATGTCATGACTGCTGCCACTGCTGTTACCCCTGCTCCTCTTTTCTACTCTTACTGCGGCTGTGACTTCCAGCCATAGTTAGTGATCTTCCAACCATGCGCTTTTAGGGAAGGAAAACGACGGGCAGGTCGGCGGGCATGAACCAACGACAGCCACTGCGCCGCTCTAAGGCACGGTGCTGCAGTGCCCAGCGACCTGCTCGTTATTCACTAATCGTCGCAGATCTCTCCGACGGTCCACTAGAGCCACGGTGGAGACCTGATCAATTCACCAAACTGGAGTTCTTCCGCCGCCGCTTCCCTTCCTTCGAGCCGGGAGAGGCAAACCCGTCATCCTTTTGGGCTCGTTGACCTCTAGTCCCTTCCCTCTGCGCTCAGCAGATGCCACACACTTTGCGGCTCACGCGAAGGGCGTCTGTGCCCAAGCTTACATCGACGGCTTGAACGGCAGCTGCTGAAGGAATGAGAGACGCAAGTGCTTGAACCACCCACCGCGAGTAGCTTCCAATTTGGTAAATCGAGACAGACACTTTGAATATCTTTGCCTGCGTGGTTGCCTACCTTGGCCATGTCAGCTCTATCTCATCTCATCTCGATCCGGCCGCCGCAAGTCGCTGCCTCGAGAGGGATTGACCATTGACCAAAAAGCTTTGCCTCAGTTTGCCAAAGCATTATCTCTGTCGTCCATCGTACGCTGCCAACCCTCCAATTGACCTACCTCGCACGTACTGGGTTACAGCGTGGCTGACCGACATAGACTCTGTCCCTTGTCTGCTCTGATCTGCTCTCGATGATCAATCTCTCCGTCATTAACTCAACCATGGCAACCCCTGCTCCGTCTCTCGGGCACTTGGTGCACGATACCACGATCCAGGTCGCCCGCCTCGCCGCATTCCTCTGGTGCCAGGTCAACGCCGTTGCCGAAGTCGCGATCTGCATCTGCATGGAACAGCGACCCGAGTCCGCCGCCGAGCCACCTCAGCCTCACATCTGCAGCTACCACAATCCAGTCTCTGGTACAATGGGCGCTCTCTCTCTTACCACTTGCGAGACCCACGTCGACTTCAATCTCGTCGTGAGCGCACCGGCTGAGAACCAGGGCCTTGATCGCCCAACCCACCCACCATGCAAGGCGCCCACCATCTATGTGGCGCAGCCACATGGGCAGCATGGCGGCGCGCTCGCATTTGCTGCCGAAGTGCTCAGGGGCCTGGACGGCGGTGTGTGCGCGGCAGTCGCGACCATGCTCAACCACGCCTTGGCTTGGCCCGAGCTGGGTGCGGTGTACCACACTGGCTCGACAGTGCCGCTTGTCCAGCATCTTGCCGACATCCTTGGTACATCGGTGTTTGCGCCGCCGAGCCGAGCCGAACACCGATTTTCGGCGCACACCGGCGGGGACTTCTGGCACGTGTTCTGTCGCAACGTCGAGCGGCACTCGTGCAAGATTGCAATCCAGGAGGGCGACGAGACCTTTCTCACTTACAAAGACCTGTGGCAACTCGCCTGTAACACCGCCGTGCGCATTGGTGTTAAGCGCGACGAGTCGCACGCCGAAGTACCAGTGGTTGCCATCCTGGCAGAGCGCTCCATCGAGGCCATCGCGGGCCAGCTTGCAGCCATGGCTGCTGGGGTCGCGTTCGTATACCTTTCCCCCCAGCTTCCGCTCCCCCGTCTGCAGAGAATCGTCGATGATTGCGCGCCTCTGTTACTCATTCACACCGACGCCGAGGCCGCCATCGCCCGTCAGCTGTCCCTGCCCTTGGACACATGTCTCCCCTCATCGCTGGCCTTTGCGCCGCCCTCGCCGCAAGGCCTCAAGTCGCTGTCAATGCTATCATACAGCCCTCAGGAACCCGCCTATCTGGTCTACACGAGCGGCACCACCTCGGTGCCCAAAGGTGTTATCATTCCTCGCAGTGCCCTCGCCTCATATCTGAAGGCCTCGCTCGGTCTTTGGGGACAGCGCTGGTACGATCGCCGCCTCGCTGTAGCAAGCCTCTTGTTCGACGTGTCCATCTGCGACGTATTTGGCAGCCTGGCATGCGCCAGCTGCATCGTGCTACGCCCACAGGCTCGCCTCCTTGACGGCCTCGGCCGCCAGCTGCTCTCGGATAGGATCTCGTTCGTGCAGCTCACGCCGACGGTCGCCAGTCTTGTCAGCAATCCCAGCAGCCTTGCAAATGTCCGCACCATCATCCTATCCGGCGAGCCCGTCCCTCCACGTCTTGCATCGTGGTTCGTCCAGCAGGGGATTGACGGCGTCTGGAACGGCTACGGTCCTTCCGAGGCGACGGTAGTCACACTTGCGCATCGCTTTGCGTCCAACACTCAACTCGGCTTCTCTCCCATCGGTCTGCCTTTGGGCGACACAAGGGCCGTCATCCTGGCGCCCGACACTGGTGAGGTGGTGCCGCGCGGCTTTGCCGGCCACCTTTGCCTTCTTGGCCCTCAGTTGGCGTTGGGCTATCTAAAGCGCCCCGAGCTGACCGGCGAGGCGTTTGTCGCCGAGGGAAGAGACAGGTACTATTACACGGGCGACCTCGCCCGCTTTCGCAGGGAGTCGGACTCGATCGAATGCATGGGTCGCCTGGACCGCCAGGTCAAGCTCAATGGCCTTCGCATCCAGGTCGAGGAGATCGAAGCCTCGGCCAGAGAGGTGGTCGAGGCGTGTGCAGTCCTTGTTGTTGGGGTCGCACCGGCCAAGCTCGCGTGCTTCTATCTGCTACCCAAAGGCGAGTCCAAGAAACAGACAGAAGGTCTCTTACGCGCGCACCTCGAGCGAGACTTACCCGCCTACATGGTTCCTACCGTTCTCATGGCTCTGGAGGACTGGTCTATTGCCTTGACTCCTACTGGCAAAGTTGACGGCAACTCGCTCTGCCGCATCTGGCAGGCCTCGGTCTCGGCCCCGTTTGCGCAAAGCAACGACGACGGTAAAGATCCCCAATCTGGCGCGCCTCTGGATACCGCCGAGGAGGAGGCCATTGCAAACGCATGGGCGCAGGTATTGCCACCCCTCAGCGGTGACTGCTACAATGCGCGCCTCGACAAACACAGCAACATCTTTCAGGCCGGTGCCGACTCGATTGGTCTCATCCGCTTGTCGAATGTGCTGGCTCAGCTTGGCTGGTCCCTTGGCTCCGCCGAGATGCTCGAAACCGACGGATCGATCCAGGAAATGGCCTCTCGGCTGCGCATGGGCAGCGCCACCAACCAATCTCGAGCCGGCGCGGAAGAGCTCCAAGCAGCATACCAGCCTTGGTCTTTGGCACCAGGAGGCGGCACCACCACCACCATCAACGACCAGGAGCGCTTTACGGATGCATTCCCTCTCCAGCTGTCGCAGCTGGCGATGCTTGCGGCCTCACTGCGGCATGAGGGTCCAGACGCTCCATATTCTGCGAGCTACTGCCTGTCGCTACCCAGCGGCATAGATCTCGACCAGGTCGAGGCAGCGTGTACTGCGCTTGTGGGGCGGCATCCGTCTCTCCGCACTGTGTTCTTCAGCTCCGGCGAGGGTCTCTACCAAGCGGTCCTCAAACCAGGCCAGAGCCGCATACGCTTCACGCAGTCAAACGACGACTTGGATGTCAGCACGCCAGGTGTGCTTGTCTCTATCGGTAGCACCACGGTGCCTCTGAGATTCCACTTGGTTCGCCGAGCAGCGAGCCTCTGGATGCATATCCACCATGCGATCTTCGATGGCTGGTCTCTTAACATTATTCTCGACGATCTCGAGGCGCTTTTGCAGGGGCCTCGACTTCCGGCGGACCAAGCGCTGTTGTCCGGATCTGAGTTCCCTGCATTTGTCGACCATAGCAAAAGGCTAAGGACGGAACGAGCCAAAGAGTCGCTCGACTTCTGGCGCAAGATGCTCGCACCACTTGAAGGCCTTCTGTGGCCGCCGCACCAGCGATCCGATGGATCGCGTCCGAGGACGGACGCTCTTGTGCAAGCGAGATTGAAGTCGCCGCGGCTCGCCGCGGGCGCTCGCCGCGTGCATCCTCGAGCCACGCCGGCTATCTTGGTGAGCGTTGCGCTTGCCATAGCGTTGAAGTACCACGCCCATGCCAAGGCTGCCGTCTTTTGGGCGGTCAGCTCTGGTCGCACCGAGTCTCCGTACGCACACCGCGCCTCGGGCTGCTACGTTGCAACCTTACCTGTCAAGGTCGACTTGACCGGCAATGCGACGCTGCACGATATATTGGCCCAGGTCGCCGCGCAGCAGATCGAGGCTCTTCGCCACGAGCAGAGCCAACTTGACACCCAGCTTCGACCCGATCCTCAGTGTCTTTTGACGTTCCAGAACTTCCCCGCTCGACAAACTCCGGCGCCTCAGCTACAGATTCGCTCCCAGGACATGGCCCGCGACTATACCCTCTGTCTGGATGCCTTCCCTTGCCCCGAGAATGGCATGATCAAATTTGACCTGCACTTTGTAAGTGTGCACACCCTGGCACCATGCTTTTTATTCCTGCCAAGATGCCGGGGCACTCATACTTGTCGTCGCATTCATGCATTTGACTGACCCTCGGCTGCGATGGTATCTCTCTGCCTCTCGGTCGCTCTTTCTCTTTCTTTTGCTATCCAACCTCCTGCCACACAGGACACAACGTTGGTCACTGAGTCAGAGGCTGTGACGTTCCTTGAGCACGTCATTTATTTCCTTGATGCGCTATGCGAGTCATCGCCCGGAGATACGCTCTCGTCCGTTGCTGGTGCTCTGGCAAGGGAAGAAGGGGTCAACTTCAGCGCTTTGCACTCTTATCGGGACAATGCCGGTGCGGCACCGGCAGGTGATACGCAGGGGCTCTCCAGCTTCTGCTCGATCGTCGATGCATTGCTGGCAGCCGCAACGCGCGTTCCTCGCAAGATTGCGCTGTCGTTTGAAGACAGAGTGTTTCTCGAGTACCGGGAACTGGAGCAGCGCACTTCTGCCGTGGCTCTCGGTCTGGCCAAGCTCGGAGTCGGCCGAGGAGACACGGTCCTCGTGCGAATGGATCGGGGCATCGACCAGATTGTTGCAATCTACGGAGTCATCCGCTGCGGCGCGGCCATGGTGCCTCTGGACCCTGCCTTTTCTCAGGAGAGGCAGGAGTTCCTAGCCCGCGACTCTGGCGCCCGTATCGTGTTAGTGGAGTCCAAAGATGTCGAGCAAGCGCCCGAGCTAAGCGACGCAACGGTAAAACAGTTGTCTGAGGTCGAGACCGCCACAACAGTGCCCGGAGTTCTTGATTCAAGACGCTTGGAGATGATCCAACCCAACGACGTGGCATATCGTCTCTACACAAGTGGTACCACAGGCCAGCCAAAGGCCGTTGAGATCCCACACTCGGCGCTGATGAGCTTTGTCGAAGCGACGTCGCTCTATCGCCAGATGTGGACCTCGCGCCGCCTTGCTGTGGCCGCTTTCACGTTTGATGTGAGCGTTCATGACTGGGCTGCGACGCTCAGTCTCGGCGCCACCTTGTGCATCTCGTCCTCGGACCGGCTCTTTGGCGATATCACACACACGCTCAACACGCTCCGGGTCAGCTCAGCACAGATGACGCCGACCGTTGCCTCGCTGATCGATGCAGAACGCCTACAGCATCTCGACACCCTCATCCTCTCTGGAGAACCTTTGAGCGCGGCGCTACGCAATAAGTTTGTTGGCAAGCTCAACTTCTTCAACAGCTACGGGTATGTCTCGGTCTCCTTCTATAGCCTTGCCCCGCGTCAATCAAGGCCACTCCTGACCTCTGTCTCTCCCTTTACTACTATGCCAACAGACCAACGGAGACAACGGTTGACGTCTGCTCGCATCGCTTTGAGCCTTCGGACGTCGACGTACCTTTTGTGCCTATTGGACGCCCCATGGGGTTCAACGAGCTGCTGGTCGTCGATCCCGACACGCTACAACCAATGCCCCTTCTCTGTCCGGGCGAGCTTCTGATCGGCGGACCTCAGGTTGGCCTGGGCTACGCAAACCGCAGCGAGCTCACGAAGAAGCATTTCGTTCTGCATGCAGCCTGGCCTGGTGCCTCGGCTAAACGCCTATACCGCACCGGCGACCTCTGTCGGCTTCACCTCAACGGTCTCATGCAGCACATGGGACGCATCGACTCGCAGGTTAAGCTACAAGGCAGGCGCATCGAAGTCGAAGAGATCGAGAGTGTCATCACCGCAGCTCTCGACACGCACCAGCAGCAGCAGCATGAGCTGCGTCGTCCACAGGTGTGCGTTAGCATTGTCGACAAGGGCGGCAGCCAATCTCTGGCTGCGTGGATCTCATACTCGACGGCGGCGAAAGGGCCCGTCGAGGGTGGGGCCACCATCACCTGGCTACCACAGGCCGAAGCCGAGCGGGTGTTGGAGCATTGCCGCCGCACTTTGCCCCGCTACATGGTGCCCAGGGATCTGTACCTTGTGCAAGACATGCCCGTCACCGCCTCCGGCAAGGTCGACCGCAGGGGCCTCGCACGCTCCACCCGGCTGGACCTCTCTTCGCCGCCCAGAGACGCAGACAAATCAGTATCTGAAGCCAATACACACGCAGCTCAGCGTGGTATTACCCGGTCGGCGCGCCGCAAGCCCTCCTCTCGCTTCGCCGGACTGCTCTGCCAAGCTTACACTAGTGTCTTTGACCGCTGGATCAACGACGAAAACGCCGACTTTTCCGAGCTTGGGGGCGACTCAATCAGCGTCATCCGGATTCTAGCCAGCCTGCGCTCGCTCCTTGCCAAAGGAGAGGAGCTTGAGCTTCGGCCAAGCCACTTCTTTCAGTTGCGCACGATCGGCGACCTGGCCGCATTCTGGAACCAGCAGACTACCAGACAAGCTGGTGGAAGCGGTGCCGATGACATCTGCGAACGCCGTGCCAGTAGCAGCGACGGCAACGCGAGCAATAGCACGCCAAGCGTCTCGACAGAAGAGGTAAAATCTGCAGCGCACGTGGCATCGCTGAGACCCGAAGACATCGAGGAGGCGTATCCTGCGGTCCGCCTCCAAGAAGGTCTTGTGTCGTTATCGCTCCAGGATCCCTCACTCTACTTTGCCACATTCCGATGGAAGTTGTCGCCGGGCATCAACCCAGACCGAGTGCTTCAGGCGTGGACCACAGTTGTGTCCCGCCGACCGATGCTGCGCACCGTGTTCGTCCCCTCTGACCATGGCCGCATCCTGCAGCTGGTGCTCAAGGCTTCGGCCTCGGCCTCGTCCACTGCCCCGCACCCCACCTCCTTCAATTGGGGTGTAGTCCCCCTCATGGCGACCATCGAACGTGGAGAGAGCACCTCACCGTCGCTGTCCCCCTCGCCGTCGTTTAGACTCGATATACATCATGCGCTCTACGATGGCTGGACACTAAAACTGCTCCTGGCGGATCTATGCAGCGCCTACTACAACGAACTGTTGCCTGAGCGACCCAGCTTTGCCTCGGTTCAGGCGATCGAGGAGGCGAGCGACATGACCAAACATATGGCCTTCTGGGCACGCGAGCTCGAGGGCAGCCCCGTGCCCAACTGGCCGTGCAGGCCCCACGCGCGCCTCAAGGCAGATCACCGGGCTACAGTCCACGTGGATGTCGCCCGGCTTGACCAGCTCGTGTCACAGGCTAGATTGAGTGCCGCCACCGTCGTGGAGACAGCGCTTGCTCTGGTAATGGCACGCTATGCCGATGCGCAGGATGTCATCTTTGACGTGGTCAGCAGCGGCCGATCGGGCGCTCGAAGCGTCGTGGCCAACATCGACCAGATCCTGGGACCGTGCGTTGTCACGTATCCGCTCCGTGTGCGCCTCGACAGGTATGCAAGCATTTCCGACCTCGTCCGAGGGCTGTTGCAGCACCAGTCGGACGAGCTTGTTCATCACGAAGCTGCCGGTCTGACCAATATTGTCAAAGCAGCTAAGCTGCCAGCCGCGCAGCAGATCTCGTCTACGCTTCTCACGCTGTCAGCCGAAAACGGCTCCAGAAGCAAGCAGCAGCCGCTCTTTGAGGGCGCAGTCACGTCCTCAATGCGGCGCAACTATGCCGTCTGTCTTGATGTCGACGTCGGCCCGGACGGGATCGATTTTGACGTACACTTTGATCCCGCCACCATCGTCAGGCAGGATGCGTGCCAACTGGCTGCACACGTCGGCCATGCCGTCTATGCCATCCTCACGTCGGGCGATACCTCACTGGACACCTTCCGTTTGTTTGGACCCGCGGACCAGCAGATCGTCTCAGATATGGAGCGCGACACCCAGCAAAGATCGAACCAGCTGCAGCGCGAGCCACTGCTGCTGGCACACCAGTACCTCGAGGCTCACGCCCGCACGAGCCCCTCCAAGATCGCCCTCCAATACCAGGATCGTTTTATAACATATGCCGAGTTCGAACAACGCGCATCAATGCGTGCCAAGAGCATCCGTGTCCGACTAGTCGAGGCTAGCGGTAGCGGAAAGCAGCGGCTTCCGCTGGTACCCATCATCGCTGACAAGGACGATGACTTTGTCATCAACGCCTTTGCCGTTCTCAAAGCCGGGGGCGCATACGTTCCCATCAGTCCGTACTGGCCTTCGGGTCGGCGTAACGAGGTACTTCGACGCACCGCTGCAGCCTTTGCCATCACCAAGGCGGACCTGGTCGAACAACTGCGCCGAGAGACGAAAGGACAATGCGAGCCCCTGACAGCAGAGTGTCTAGAGCAGCAGCAGCAACAGCAGCATCAACCGTCGCTACAATCGAACGGGGATATCAGCCTGCCGTTCACGGCGCCTGACAATGCATCGGATCGCGTCGACTTCTACGGGCCTGACGAGGCGCGGCTGGCCTATCTGCTCTTCACCTCTGGCACGACGGGCACTCCCAAGGGTGTTCAAGTCACGGCAAACAATCTGGCGGCATTCCTTCGAGGCGCTAGTCACCGCTACCAGCCGTACACAAGTGCCTGGACCCGGCGAGGCTCGTTCGCCGCCCAGACGTTTGACGTGTCGTGCCACGACATCTTTGGGGCCGTCGCGGCGGGCTCCAGCCTCTGCATGGCTCCGTCGCTCGAGATGCAGCTCGACCTCCAGCACACACTCGAGGAGCTGCGTGTGAGCCTGATCCAGCTCACGCCGTCGGTGGCCCAAATCCTTGACTATACAGGCCTACCACACCTCCAGGCACTCATCACAAGCGGCGAGGCACTGCCCGCCAGCCTCGTCGTCGGCGTGACGCAGCACGTGCCCCTCTTCAACAGTAACGGCCCGACCGAGGCCACAGTCGACTACAGCAGCCGCCTCTACAGCGCTTTGCCATCCACACCCAACGAGGCAGTGGGGGAGTATCAAGAGCCGTGGGTCTCGGTGGGAACGCCCATAGGGTTCTCACGATTCTATGTTCTCGACTCCCAGCAACGCCTCTGTGCCACAGGTGAACCCGGAGAGGTCGTAGTGGCCGGTCCACAGGTGGCGGCTGGCTACCTCGACATGTCAGGCGAGACGGCCAAGGCGTTCTATAGGCATCCGCAGCTCGGAGACATCTATGCCACCGGTGACCGAGGCATCCTGCATGCCAACGGCGAACTGCAGCTTCTGGGACGTCGGGACGGACAGGTGAAGATCCGGGGACTGCGAATCGAGCTTGGCGAGATTGCCGCAGTCCTTGAACGCGCCACTCTTGTGGCTGCTGCAGCCGTATACCTTGACCCAGACAATGCGGAGCAAATTGCGGCGTTCATTGCCACCAAGCACAGTGTCGGCGATCTGTCCAGTGACCAGGTTGCCGCCAGGGTGCGTGTTGAGGCGGCGCGGTCGCTTGCGCCGTATATGATGCCGGCCAGCATCACAGTTGTGGGCACTGAGCTTCCCATTACTTCCTCGGGCAAGGTCGATAAGAGCGCGCTCTTTGATGGCGAGCGCCGCACCCGCACCCAGCACCGAAACCGCCCGGCCATCGCCGTCCAAGAGCGTGCCAATCTTGAGGCCTCGGTCTCTGCCGCCCAACCCACTTCCTCTGTCGCTCCCACGGAGAAAGCACTCGAGGCCCAAACCGATCATACGACGCTGACGCCCGTACAGCAGGCGGTACGCAGCGCGTGGGCCAGTGTGCTCCAAGTGTCGGAACGAGTTCTCGACCTACACACGACGTGGTCTGCTGCGGGCGGCGACTCGATCCAAATGATCCGTCTCTTTTCAGCGTGCCGCCGTGCCGGTATCTCTCTCTTGCCAGGCTCAGGAACAACGATATTTGAGCAGGCGCTGACGGCCAAAGTCGGAAAGGAACTTCTCAGTGGCTCTGCAGCCGCGCCTGGCTCTGGAGAGAGCGACACCGTCCGCAACGTGGTCCTCTCTCCGATCCAGCGCCACTTTTTCGCCAAGACTGGGCCGATCGACCATTACAACCAGTCAATGCTCCTGCAGCTGCACTCGAGCGTGGATTCGCTGCACCTAGCCAAGAGTCTAGATACCTTGGTGCGTCGTCATGCCCAGCTGCGAGCCAGTTTCACCCGCACCAAGCGAGGCCGGGTGATGCAGCACCTGCTTCCACCAGCGCAGGCGTTGGGCTGGCCCGTCAACACGGTCGGAGACCGAGAGATCGAGGACATCGACGAGATCAACCGTCTTCTGCAGCAACAGAGCGCCTCCCTCAAGGTGTTTGCCGAGCCACCGCAGCATGCAAGCTCGCTTCTGGCCGCGCTTGTCTTTACTTTCCAAGGCCGGCGTCACGCCTTCCTTACCGCGCACCACCTTGTCGTTGACCTGGTTTCGTGGAACGTTCTCCTCGATGCGCTTATGGAAATGCTAGCTGCCAGCGACAATGGTATCAGCAAGCGCGTCGCCGAGCAGAAGAAAGAGAAAGAGGCCAATTTTGCTGCTTTTTCCGCTGCAATGTTCAAGGAGATTAGGAGCGTCGTACTGCAGGGTGACGGACCTCGCTTCACGCAAGTCATCCCGGAGCAGCAGCAAGCGCATGGCGATGGCCATCCTATCAGTGTCGGCGAGTGGGAGACGTCAGTCTTCAGCATCGGTCCACTCAGTCAGTCATGCATTCGTCGCCGCCACCTCGAGACGCTCGACATCATGCTGGCGGCGCTTGCCTTGGCCATCCGCGAAACCAGGGGCGAGCACACGCCGGTGATTGCGCTCGAGGGACATGGCCGCGACGTTCTTCCACCCTCATCCCAGGTCGAGCTCGACGCAGCGGTCGGCTGGTTTACCAACATCTCTCCTCTATCGCTCCCCACCTCAGACTCGTCGATCGAAGCTACCCTCCGAGGGATCCGCGACGCGAGACTCGCAGGCCTCGAACCTCTACTTGGCGCCGCCGAGCTCGGGGCGCTTGCACCTGCATCACAACATGCACCTCGCTGGCCGCTTCTCTTCAATCTGCACAGCAAAAGCGCAAGCAGCCCCACGCACGACGGTCCCTTTGAGCTCATGAGCACAGGAGCGTGCTCTGCCCGGGGCTTCCAGTGGACCGATGTAGGGTATCAAGCAGTGAGGGACGCGGCTCTGGCCATCGACGTCGAGCCGGATGTCCTAAACCCAGCCTCCTTCATCGTCGAGATGCATCACCGATCCCACGCCAGTGACTCAGTCCAGTGTCTTGGTCTCGCACTGCAGACGGCCGTCATCGCCATTGATCGCCACAACCGTGAGGCCGTTTCCAAGCCCTTGACCTGCATTCCGGATCTCTGCCGCAGCGATCTTTTTCCGCATCTCATGCTGAACCGCGAGCAGTTTAATCGACTGACAAAAGACACGCTTCTCCAGGCAGGCATCAGGCTCGATCAGGTCGCTGATCTCGTCCGCGCTCTGCCAACGCAGCAGGCGCTGGTGTGGGAGACGCAGAGGGCGCCAGGTGCCTACATCACTTCGCGCACGTTCAATTTCGCAGAAGGCGACGCGCCCAACGCGGTATGGCGCTTGCAGTCGGCTGTCGAGAGGCTCGTCGACGCCCACCCGATCCTGCTCCGCAGCCGCTTCGTTCTCGATCGCGACCTGGGGCTGCTCATTGCCGTCCTGCGAGCTGGGTGCGCTCCGACTGTATGGTTTGACCGCATGGATGACGACGACAGCAGCGACGAGGCTCTCCAGCACGTCGGAGATCCCTTTCTGCAGCCGTTTGGCGTCGTGCTGCGTCGCCACGGGCCTCAGCGGCAGGTAGTTGCCGAGGTCCGCATCCACCACGCCCTCGTCGATGCATGGACAATGCACATCCTCGTCCAGGACCTTGGCGCGCTTTTGGTCGATCCCTGCGCCGAGCCCAATCGAGGTCGCTTGCAGTTCAAAACCTACCTACTCCAGATGGCCACAAAGGACCGCACGGTCTCGCGCTCTTTCTGGACTCGGCTGCTGCAAGACCTCAAGGCCGTCTCCTCCACGCCTGCATTTGCAGAACGCCGTAGAGCCTTGAAAGATTCGCGCCCGCTTGCTGCTAGAATGGCGCGTGTGCGCCAGCAGTTCTGCATACCGCGCGACCAGCTCGAAGACACCGGCGTCTCGGAGTCAACCATATTCTTGCTCGCATGGGGAGTGGTGCTTGCCGCGCACTCGCGCCAACGCAGCGTCGTCACCGGTCTCATCCTGAGCGGCCGAGACGGCGCCATCCCTGGCATCGACAACATGGCTGGCCCTACCATCACGACGCTGCCGCTGCCCATCTCTCTCCGCGCTGACTGGGACCTGCAGAGCCAGCTACTTCAGCTTGAGCGTGCCGTTGCGCTTGTATCACAGCACGCCGACGTCGGTCTCGCTGAGGTTGCCAGCTGGGCAGGGTGGCCGGCAGATGCACTGACCAGCTTTGCTACCTTCCGCAACCTCCCAGGTGACGACGGCCGGACTGCCAGCGACTCGCTCGTGGAGCTTGAGGAGCTGGCCGAGGACAACGAGCAGGTCCCCGTCTCGGTGGCTGCAGGCGCTGGCACAGAGAGGCACTGGCTGGAGCTCAACTACAACTCGACTATGTTTGACGCGCAGGAGGCTAAAGCACTGGCCAACGACACCTGCTCCATCTGGAAAAAGCTCCTGACCAAAGGCGGCCATAAGGACGTTGATGCGCTCATTGGTTTCGTCCAGCCAGTGCCACGCGCACCGGCGGCTGTTGCAGATCTGCACAGGCAATTCGACGGCATCGGCAGCCAATCCCCGGTCTCTGCTGCGGCGGGGACTGAGCCTAAGCCAGAGTTCAAGCTCTCCACAGAGCTTGGTGCGCAATTGGAGCAGAAATCAGCAACCACGGGCCTGAGGGAGCAGCTTGAGCGCATATGGTGCGATGTACTTGCGATTCCGGAACAGCGTTGTCCACACGACGTTCCTTTCTCCGAACTCGGAGGCAGCTCGCTCGCTTCGATGCGTCTGATTTCTGCTATGCGTAACGCTGGCATTAAGGCCAATGTGTCGGATCTCCTCCAGGCTAACACCATCTCGTGCCTGGCCACTAGGCTGCTCGGCAAAGCGCGCCAGCAAGACAATGCAACACACGCTTCAACGAGTAAGATCAAACCGGGATTCACAGTGGTGTCGCGACAGGCTGAGGCAGACACTGCTGTGCTCGACTCCGCTTCCTGTCAAGAACCGGCTTCAGCGGCAGAAGACTCGCCGCCTGCTGACGCTGAGGCGTTCTCCACGTTCGAATGCACACCCGTCCAGCTGGCAGTTCTCAGTGCCGCGTCCGTTCACGACGATACTATCCAAACAATAACAGATGACAGCGACAGTGCCTCACCACTGCGCTCAACGCCGTACTGTGCCGAACTCACCTTCAGTGTCAGGAGCGACATCGACCCTGTGCGGCTGAAGAGGGCCTTCCATTGCCTGGTTGACAGCCACGACATCCTTCGGACGGCCTTTGTTGCCAGCGAAGGCGACAAAGAGGGGGGGGCAAGCTTTCGAGCGATTTGCTACCCGCCTGGATCGCCTCGAATTCCCAGTCTTGAGCTCGACACCACAACTTCGGCCCACCAGGATCCTCTACCCACGGCCACCGGCACGGTGGCCTGGAAGGCCGCGCTACAAGGAAGAAAGCTGGTGTGGCATATCTCACATGCCCTCTACGACGGTGCGACCCTCGACATCTTCCTACGAGACCTTGACATTCTCTACACGCAGCTCGGCCTGCCTCATGCCGTCGGCGTCGCGGACCTCGGTGTGTCTAGACACAGCTATGCCAAGTTCGCCAAGGTTGCCAACCGGTGGGCCGACGACCAGGCCGCGGCTTCGTTCTGGTCGCAACGCCTTGCCGGTGCCTCCCTAACGCAGCTGTGGCCATCTGTGGCAGACAACGTGCCCTGTGCCACAAACCAGATCGAAATCGACTCTGAGGGAAGCCTCGAGACGGCAGCAAGTCGACTTGGCTGCCTGCCGGGTGCCCTTGTCCGCGCTGCCGTGGGCCTGCTCCTCTGCCAGCTCCATGAAACGGACCATGTCGTCTTTGACTGGGTCTCGTCCGGTCGGTCCGTGCCTGGCTTTGATGAGACAGCCGGCCCCATGGTGGCGACCTATCCCGCGAATGTGACCATCAACCGCCAGGAGGACGACGCAGCAGAGACGATTCAGCAGATAGCTACCCGGATTCAAGAGGAACTCATCCAAGAGATGCAGCACGAGCATTTCGGCATGAACCGCATCCTCCGAGCAGCAAAGCTCTCGGGGCAGCGCAGCCAGCTTTTGGTCACCTATCAAGCCCCCGCCGTACGTCGGCCGAAGGAACGCATCGTAGAATTCGAAAGAGGCTCTATGACGCTCGACTATGTTGTTTCGCTTGAGGTCCAAGATCGGACCGCCCTCGTGGGTCGCCCCTCGTTCCGTACCACGACGGTTTACGACGCCCAAGTCCTGTCACGCGGCGATGCCATCTCCTTGACCCAGCAGCTTGGCTATTTACTCGGCGCACTCAGCAAAGCTGCACCACTCGACACTGCCAGCTCCCCAAGCGCTCGCCTGCTGAGCCTCTCGATGGGCCCCACCGAGCTGGAGACAGCGCACGGGCTGTGCTCCGCAGATGCTCGACTGAGTGGGTCCTGGCCGCTCCTCCACGATCTCGTCATCCAGCAGAGCGTGGCGACACCTCGAAAAGTGGCGCTGCAGTTTAACGACGAGTTCGTCACCTACGCCCAGCTCGTGTTGAGAGCGCAATGGGTGGCAGACCACATCGTGGCAGCATTCGGCAAAGATCGCCGCTCTGGCCGCCAACCTTGCATAGGAGTTAGTATGTCCCGCGGCATCGACATGGTCCTGGCTCTACTCGGGGTCCTCATGGCGGGGGCCGCGTATGTACCCCTCGATCCGGACCTGCCCCATACACGATACCAGTTGGCGATCCGGGCGACCGGCGCCAAGCTAGTACTTGCCTCGCAGGACATTGTCTCGGCCAATGTCTCCCACGTAGACGCATCTGACGTCGAGTTTGTAACGTTGTCCGAGCTCGCCAAGAGAGCCAACCAACAGCAGCAGCTCCGAGAAAGACCCGACTCCATCACAGCCGTCGTCCAGCCCAACGATCTTGCATACGTGATCCCTACCTCGGGCTCGACAGGCACGCCCAAGGCCTGTGCAATCGAACACCGCAACGTTTCAGCGTTCCTCACGGCGGCGACGCGCTTCTACGGGCTGACGGCCTTCAGTCGCAAGCTGCAGGCGGCCAACTTTACCTTTGACGTGAGCGTGTTCGACATCTGGGGTACACTCTCTGTTGGTGGCTGCGTCATCCTGGCACCCAGGGGGGAGCTCTTTGGCGACATGGCTGGCGTCATCAACAAGACCTCCGCCACGTTCCTCGATCTCACTCCCACGCTCGCGTCTTTGCTCAGCCCTAGCAGCTTGCCCACTGTCTCCTCCATCCTCTTTGGCGGCGAGGCGCTCCCACGCAAGATCCTCAAAACCTGGATATCGGAGCCCGGTGTCGCCGTCTTCAACGCTTCGGCGCCCACCGAGTGTGTTGTCAATGCCCTGGCACATCGATTCAACCGCTCCTCGGCCCATCTGCCGTACATCCCCATCGGCCGGGCACTCGGCCATTCCAGAATCTACCTTCTGGACAATCAGATGCGGCCCGTGCGATTAGGCCAAGTTGGCGAGATCTACATTGGCGGGCCGCAGGTCGGTCGCGGATACCTGGGTGACGAAGAAAAGACACGACAATCGTTCCTGCGGGACGTCACGATTAAGATAGGCAGAATCACGTTCCACGAGGAGCGCCTGTTCCGCTCTGGCGACACTGCCAAGCTGCACGGAGAGGGACTCGTTGAGCATCTCGGCAGACGAGACCACCAGGTCAAGCTCAAGGGACTCAGGATCGAGTTAGGCGACATCGAATCGCAGCTCTCGAGCTTGCCTGGCGTCCGACTGGCGGCCGTCCAGAAGGCTGTGGCGCCGGGCGGCGGCGGTATATTGTCCAAGGAGACCCTCATCGGCTTCGTCGAGCTCCAAGCTGCTCATGATGGGGGCCAAGCGGACGCTACAACCTCAGAAGCCCGGGTTCCCCTTGTCGAGCGTCTGCTTGCTGATCTGCAGCTACGTCTGCCGTCGTACATGGTCCCTGAGTCCATCGAGCTGGTACCGAACCTGCCTCTCACGCCTTCGGGCAAGGTGGACCGGAAAGACCTCAAGAGGCTGGCCGATGCACTGCTCGCCAAGGCAGGTGCCAACAGGACCGACGCGATGAGGAGCGACACCACCGCCCCCGAGGACGAAATTGAAGCCAAACTTGTCGAGCTGAGCGCCAAGATCCTCGGACACGCTGCCAAGCACGTCTCAACAACAGCGGGCTGGTCGCACCTCGGCGGCGACTCGATTGCTAGCATCCAGCTCATCTCTGCGTGTCGCAAGGCGTTTGGCACCCGTCTGGCGTTTGGAAGCGTCCTCCGATCGACGACGCTGCGACAGGTGGCAGCCATGGTCCGACGCTCCACCAAAGCGACAACGGGCGCACAGAATGCCGATGCTGCATCGAGCTTGGAGCGCTCCGACTCTTCCAGGGCACTGTGCGTGCCTCTGACCCCTTTGCAACGGCGGTTCGTGCATCTCTTTGGAGCTGAAGGAGAGAGCGGGTTGGAACACTACTCTCAGTCTCACCTGATCTCCCTCCGCGGCCGTGCAAGCTCCTGGACGCGCGAGGAGCTTGAAATGATGCTGCGCAACATCGAGGATCGGCATGCCGCGCTCTCGTGCACCCTTACGCCGCACGGCATGTCACAGGGCCTGCGGCCCCGCAGGCGCCTCACACTGCACCAGGAAGCGATAGCAACTTGCAAAGATCTCGGAGTCGTTTGCTCGGCCACCATCCACCGGGTCTCGCTCGCCGAGTCGCGCCTGTTTGAGGCGACACTGATCGAAGTGGGCGCAGGCAGCCAGAAGTTCGTAATGCTTACGGCACACCACTTTGTTGTCGACATCGTCAGCTGGCAGATCATCCTGGGCGATCTTGCAAGCCAGCTTTCCAGCGGTCCAGCGATTTCTGCACTTGGACAGGCAACCGACACGTTCCTCTCGTGGAGCCAGGACCATGACAAGCATCCGGGGCACATCACGAAGGTGTCAATACAGCCTCTGGAGCAGCTCAGCACCAGCAGCAGTTCAGCTCTGGCCCAAAGAGGCGGCGTTGTCTCTAACAGTCAAGAAGTCAAGCTCGACGTCGCATGGTTCTGTGCCAGTCGCGAGATTGACCTGGAGCATCTGATGGTTGCGGCCCTCACTTGCTCGTTGCGAGACACAGCCACCTGCCGCATGAGCTGCACAGCGTCGTCGAGCGTGACCCTGGCCGTGGAAAGCCACGGCAGGGAGCCGTGGCTGCAAGTTCAGGACGTGACCCGGACCGTCGGTTGGCTCTCGGCCTTCTACGCAGCAAGTTTGGACCTCTCGGCGATCGAAGACCCGATTACGGCCCTGGTGAGCGCCAAAGACGCTCTGTGCGTCGCCAAGCGCCGTGGCTACTGCCTGCCTGATGGTGAAGCTCTTTGGCCTGTTGTCATGAACTACCATGGTCGTCGAGCTGCGTCGTTGGCAGCAGACTCAACTGTGTTTAACGATGTAGACCTCCCGACTCGCGAGGGGGGCCACGGTCTGGTGCGCGACGCCATCATCAACGTTGAGATCGAGCTCTCCGCCGATGGCCGCAAACTCGATTGGACGGTCGAGGGGCCAGCCTGTCTCAACACTAAGGTCTCAGCGGTCTCTATGGGCATTAAGGCGGCTCTGAATACCATCATCATGCACGTTGCTCCCAGCAATCGACCATCGCGTCTTGGCCTGACGCTGGTCGACATCTCGGTGGAACTGGATGCGCCGGCTTATGATGAGCTGCGCAAAGGTATCATTCCAAGCCTTGGCCTCGTGCCCTGGCAGCTCGAGCGCGTGACCGGATGCACACCACTGCAGACAGCACTTGTTGCGGCGGGAGATGGATCCGATCGCTATCGCAGCCATCGCGAGTACCAGGTGTCTGCCTCGCGCAATGTCACTTCGGCAGCGCTCGCTCGGGCTTGGAAGGCTGTGGTGCGCAGCACCGACGTGCTTCGCAGCCGATTTGCATATCATTCTACTCTCGGGCTGATGTGCCTGGTGCTTGCACCAAGTGAAGAGGCGTCAGTGTTCATCTCGCGGGATGCCACTGAGTACCAGGCGTGGCTGACCTTTCAGGGCGACCCGGGCCGGTCGCCTGTCGCTGCAGCGATCCTTGAGGACGAGTCGGGTATAGTGCAGAAGCTCTGCCTAGCAATCCACCACGCCGCCACCGACGCTTGGACCAACAACCTGATTGAGCAGGACCTGGTCAATGCGTGCCACGCGGGGCCCGAAATGCTCTCGCCTTCGCCGAGCTTCCAGGCTGTGCTCGACTGGTACAAGAAGCAGGACCCCGCACAGAGCTGCGCATTCTGGACCGACTACCTTTCTGGCATGCCTGAGAGCCCGTGGCCTGTTGCAACCATCGAAGCGCGGCAGGCGTTGGTGGCTTCGTCGCCGCCCGTCTTTGAACGCGCCTGGTCACGCACACCAGGCTGTGTATCGGCAGCGCTCGAGCGCATGGCGCAGCAGTTTGGAGTACTCGCCTCGGATCTGCTGCAGTTGACATGGGCCGTGTGCCTGCATCGCCGCTCGTTGCAGGACGTTGGTGCCGCACCTGCCGACGTCTGCTTTGGCATTGTGCTTTCAGGGCGAGACGTTGCCGTGGACAACATTGAGGAGATCCGCGGACCGTGCATCCAGACGGTGGTCGCACGCTACACCTTTGAGCATACCGAGAGGGTGCACGACGTGCTTAAGCGCATGCAGAACATGCAGGACAGGGCCAAGACCCACGCCTGGGTCGGACTCGACGGAATCCTCAGGGCTACGCCAGCTGGCTCCATCCACGACCTCGTGCGCACGCTGGTCACGTACCGCAACCTTCCAGGAGACAGCGACAAGGACGACAATATCAAGGGCGTGGCCAGAATGTTGCGTCAGGTAGACAGTGATGACCGCATCACCATCCCAATCTCAGTGACGGCCTATCCGGCCGGCGCTGGTGCCGACGCCGTCGAGTTTGACCTCCTCTACGATACAATGGCTGTGGCGCCTTGCGACGCGGTGTGTCTTGCCGACGAGCTGGCGCACACGTTCGTCGAGCTGATGAGAGCGCTCGAGTCTGGCAACAGCTTTGCCTCGGTCGAGCCACTTCCCGAGAAACAGATGGAGCTGGTGCAAAACAGCTGCACGAGCCGAGCCGATGCTACACTAGCGCCAGCCACAGACCTCGTATCTTTGCTGCTCGCCCAGACGCAACGGTACCCGAGCAAGATCTGCATCCAGCAGCGCGACACGTTCCTCACCTACCGCGACGTCGAACGCAAGAGCGAGCAGCTGGCGCGTCGCATCCGCAGGTACGGTCTGCCGCTCAACAGCATGGTCCCGCTCCGGTTCCACAAGGACCATCGCCTGCTGCTTGCCATCCTTGGCGTGCTGAGGGCTGGCCATGCTTACGTGCCCATCGATCCTGAGCTGCCCGAGCAGCGTCAGAACTTTCTCATTCAGCAGGTACAGGCGCGACTCGTGGTGCAGGACCAAGCATCGCATCCTGCGTTGCCACCCCTTGACAAACTTCCATGCACCGTAGCCACCTTTGAAGCGCTCATGGGGGAAGCCGAAGCCGAGCAGTCAGCGGTGCACGACGAGGACGACGACCACGACTACGCCGCGTCGTTGCCTGTCCCATCTTTCGACGATGCGTGCTACGTAATCTACACCTCGGGCTCGACGGGAACGCCCAAGGGTTGCGTGGTCAAGCATGGCAACGTGGCGCAGTACTGCACAAGTTATGCATCTGCCAACGCGGTACCCTCGGACTGGACAGACCGCACGCTTACTATCAGTAACACGAGCTTCGACGCCTCGATCTGCGAGTACTTTGTCTCTCTCGTAACGGGTGCCACGGTATGCTTTGCGACCAAAGATCAGATTCTCTCCGACCTGCTGGGCCAAGTCAACCATCTGCGCATCACCACGGGCTTCATGACTCCTTCGCTCTGCCGCACCGCCGATTTTGCGGGTCAGGCGCCAACGCTCAAGCGCTGGTCGCTGGGCGGCGAGATGGTGCCAAGGGACCTTGTCGAGGCCCTGTCCAAGGGTGGCATCGAGGTCTACACCGGATACGGTCCAACCGAGACGACCGTCATGGTGGTCACAGGACGGCTTGACACGGGCAATGTGGCTGGCTTCCTGCCGCTTGGACGACCCAACCCGGGCACCTTCCTGCGCATCGTCGATGGCTTTGGCCGCACGTGCCCCGCCGGAGCTACGGGCGAGCTCATGATTGGTGGAGGCCAGGTTTCGGCTGGCTACCTGGACATCGAATCCGACAGCTTCTTCACGGACAAGAACGGAGTGCGGTGGTACCGGACCGGCGACTACGCCTGCCTGCACGGCGACGGCCGGATCCAGATACTGGGGCGCCGCGACGCGCAGATCAAGCTCCGGGGTCAGCGCATCGACCTGGGAGAGGTGGAGGCGGCCGCCACGTCGCTCGACGACGTCGCCGAAGCGGCTGTCGAGCTTGTGGGCGACACACTAGTGGGCGGTTTCTGCCCTGCGACCGGGCGCCACGCGCGAGAATGTACCCACGAGCTCAAGCACAATCTGGTGCAGCGGTGCCAGGAACGTGTGCCGCCGTTTGCGGTGCCCGAGCACTGGGTGGCACTGGAGAGACTGCCGCGGACGCAGAACGACAAGCTGGATCGCAACGCGCTGCGCAAGTGGCTGGATGCTGCCATCAAGGCAGCGGCGCAGCGCCAAGAGGAGAAGAAGAGGACGACGACGACGGACGAGGCACCGCGGACCGAGCACGAGGAGCGCATTGCGCAGGCGTGGGCGCGAGCTCTGGGGATCGAGGCCGAGAGCATCGGACTCGACGACAACTTTACAGCGCTCGGTGGCGATTCGATCAAGGCGGTGCGCGCGGCGACGTATCTGCGTGCCACGGCACCGAGCGACACCAGCAGCAGCGGCACCGTCAGCGTTGCAGCCATGCTGAGATGCCGCACCGTGCGAGCCTATGCCGTCGAGCTGGCGCGCGCCACCCGAGAGCACATCGCAGCGGCTGCGTCGCTCGTCAACGCCCACCCTGGCTCGGACTCTAGCCCCTCCATAACAGTGCTCAAGCCGGCCCGAACATCTTCACGAAGGATGCAGCGATTTGGACTGCTGTCGCAGACGCGCAAGCCAATGATTGGCTGAACCAAAGGCCCCTTTAAGGACAGTGCAGTATTGCATGTACACAGCACATAGTAGTATGCAGTCATCCCAACGTACGTACCATGGAAATGCATCAGTTGCAAATGGCATAGACGCTTGCTTTCACGATGCGCTTGCCCATGTTCCCGGCAGCCAAAAGAAGAAGCGCGCCGGACAAGCGTGATGTAGAGACCACTTGTGTTTGGAGCGGTGGCGAGGCCACGATGGGATACATCAGCACAAGGCATCGTCGATCAAGAGTGGATCTACGAAGGATGCATCGCGGGCAGCAGCAACATCATGGCGGGTGGCTCGGTAGACATCGATGCATTTGCCGGTGATGAGGTGCCGCATCTCAAGCTCAAAGCAAGGCCGATGCATGTCCGTGCTTCAAAGCTGTGCCACGCACAACCGACCCGCGGCGCCCTGTCGCACGTCTTGCCAGAATGCTGTGTCAGCGTGGGCTGGCTGCGTCATGGTCCATGCATGGCAAACCCCACATGCGCGCGCGTTGGCAGACACAGCACAACCTTTGCCATGTCATTACCGCTTCGCCTCGCCCCGTCTTGCCTTGACTCGGCTTTGCGAGCCTGCTTGCAAAACTGTGTGGCAAATTTTGTGCCGATCAAGAGGTGGTGGCCGAGGTAAGACCCAAGATTGAGCTACATTCCGCTTCATCTTGTTATCTACTCCACGCTGTGCAACTGAAACCGGCCCAGCTCGACCTTTCCAAGCCCAACCCAGCCGAATCGGCCTGCCTCGACATAGAGTTGCCAAGGACGAGGTCCAATATCCAGAACGGCGCAGACTCTGCAACTCAGCCCAGTTGGGGTTGGCTTTGTGTCAAATCGATCGAGTCGGATACTGACAAAGATCGCTCACATTTGTGTCGCCATTTGCCAAAAAGAAAAGCATTCCAAACTGTAATGCTTCGATACGGCCAAATTGTGTCGACTTTTGTGAATTCCTCTCACAAGTGTTGGCGTTTGTCCAAGCAGTCAATTTTAACCCAGACCAGTTGCGCCAGCTTTTGCCATAGTGAAACAGGGTTGACAATTGTCAAGCTTGACAAGGATTAACTCGAGCTTACACACACGTCGAGGGAGCCAAGTTTGACAGCACAGACAAATGTGCTGATCAGTTGTCGAAGCGATTGCGATTCGACAATTGCCCAAGGAAGACAGTTCGAGGCAGACAAATTGCATTGATATTTTGTCAATGGAGTCGAGTTTGACGAACGCCATTTACATTTGTCTAGGCGACCATTCTTGACAGAGACATCTTCGCTGACATTTGTCAAAGCCACCGGGTTCGACAAAGATAATACGTTCCTCGAACCGCCGAG